CTTCTGCGTAGCAAAACCAGGCTTCGATGTTGTCGGGCCAGAAAGGCATCAGTTGAAACGAAGGCGGGGACAAAGTCTTAAGCTTGAGTACTTTAGGTGTCTGTCCAGTCATGATGAAGTATGAAGTACGATAATGAACGAGGGGAAAAATATATATATCCAAGAAAAATTACGAAAAAAATCACAATGTTTAAAACAAAATAAAAAAATAAGGCAATGATATATACAAACCCCACAAAGGAACAGACTCACAGTTGCAATTAGGTGTACCAGATCACGTCGGGCTCGCCAATGATGATGTCACAGGTATTCAGTGTTTGACAACGCTTCTACCCGTAAAACCTTCTAATATATTTCGTTCCCGCCCAGAGAAATCAAAAGACAGAGTCGAGGAGATCGGAAGAGTATATTTGGCGATGACCAATATATCGGAATTCTCTGATCTAATCTGGCTAGCGATTGCGGTTGATGTTGAGCACGGCGTTACCACACGTGATCTGGTGCGGATGCATGACCGAGCCCCTTCAGCTAGATGAGTCCACTAAAACATATGGTCAGCATCCAATGTCGAAAACTTCGGGCTATTTATTTTGGGGATTTATTTACCGCTACAGTCTTATCTTTTTGCTCACTCCTGCACTAATAATCTTAGAGGTCATAGCAAGAAGGCTCACAAACCACGATCTAATAAACTTAAAGTGGGGTCCCGTTTTTCTTATCGAGTAGTCAATGATTGTAACGCCTTGCCCCAACAAGTGGTACCAGCCCTATCAGTGAATACTTTCAAGAAGAAGCTGGACCTTCACTGGAAAGCAATGTGTCAGGATTAATACAGGTTCATCAATCTACTATCCTTATTACTGAATATAATATGGACGTATACGTCCATATGTATAGACATTTTTGACAAAAAATATTTTTGAGTTGGGTCATCATTGTTCTTTCTACATACTGACATATTGTACTTAGTGTGCGTACATTGCAAAATAAGTAATAACCACAGGATTCAAATTACCTTCCATACTTCTTTCAAACAGGTCTCAAAATTGTACGAACTTGTAAGTCATCGCGATAACAAAATATTGTAGTGTGGCGTCGAGTCGAGTTTGACTATGAACACCACTACAAAGGAACGCGTGCCAGGATATCCATAAAATCCCCCGGAAGCCAAATATCAGAAGGCAGTTAATGGACCAAGTCGAGATATATTTGCTGGCGACCTCGTGATAGCGAAAGAATACCGAGATCATGCCAGGATGCAAGCTTGCAAAAATAGCATTTTGTCTATTTTCGTAGACAGCTCACTGACCGATTTCAGGAGCGTTCTTAACAGTTTGTTTGTATCATCGCACAAACTTTCGTTATCAGGAATAAAGTAAATGCAACTTACGGTTTATCACCTTCAGTCGACGTACGTAGAATTGGTGGTGATGAAAGGTTAGCTTTCGATGAACTAATCTATGAGTATTGATAAAGTAGGTACAAACCTCGCAATCGGAGAAAACGTTCCTGTTGAAATGTTGACAACTGGAAATTCCACCGGGGCAAATCCAGCCTCAACCTCAGCAACCTCTAGTTCTTCCGAGGTGCATAGATAATCATTAAGCTTTCGTTTGACAGTTCTAACACAAATGATATAAGAAGTTGAACAATTTACCTTTTTGGTTTTTTAGCGTCACAAGGCTGCGTTTCGTCGTTAGTTGCGATGTTAGTATTGTAGCCCAGTACTGTTGCTAAATACACTTTTAATTCCTGGGCTACATTGTAGTCGTCTGAAAACAATAAATGTTAATTGATTACAACTTACCACAACGATGCATAACGGCACATTTTCTCACGTTGAATCGACTGTCAACATCAACACCCTCAACAATTTCGTGCTCACTGATATCATCACGATAAAGGTAATGATTGTTGGTCAGGAGCCATTTGTTCGGAATACAGACCACTTGCTTGTTTTCCTTATCGTCAACTAAGATGTACTTTCCACTTTGATGCTGTAAATGAATGCGCAGGCGTGAAAAATTGTACATATATTGCATTGATGAAAATTCAGTAACACTTCCTGATGGAGGACACAAAATCACTAACCAACAGACTGTTACTGGCTAAAGTGCTATATTTGCAACAGTCCTTGAGAAATGATGTCACATCTACTACTAGAATGTATGTAAAAGAGGGATAATGACCTCATAATGTTGTGTGCGCAAGCACATGCACTTACAAAGTATGTCTGTTAGTGTTATCCACGTGCATTCGTGGCTTAAGGTAGAACACTTAAACATACCAATATTACTGGAGGGAAAAGGGTCAGTATATAAATCAGAAGGACTATGAAATGGCCGGAACCTAATAAGACCTCCATCACGGATTTCTGTTACGAACCCTGGTCTACCTTTGGCAATAACTACATTGTCCGGCCTTGAAGTAGATAGCTTTGAGTTCCTGTAACTGACCATTTGCTTGGAAGAATTATCAGTTACCTCAGGTTCAGTGACATTGTCAGCCATATCCTGATTCAGTATACTTTGAAAGTAAACTTCTTCGGCATATCGCTGTGCGGCTTGTTTAGCCACGGCGAATCCACAGTGTACTGAACGCCTAATTTTTCTCATGTAGGACTCAAAAGGAAATGCTGCGAACGATTCTAAAGTACCATGTTCCATAACGTCGTCTGCAATGTGCTTTAAACTATGCACATTGTAGATTAAGTGTTCGGTACCGTAACACCTTTCGTAACCTAATAAAAAGTTATTAATGTAAACCCTAACACTGTTAGCGAATATGCTATGAAACTTAGGGTGCGATAATAAATAAATAGACAAGGAGAGTGACTGGAAGTTTCTGTACATTGATAATGGTAACCTATTATGAAGAACTACAGGTCCTAAGTATAATAAGAACAACCGACATTCAGTTGCTTTCCATACAGAAACTTCATTAAGTGAACGACATTTCCGTTGAAAATCGCATGTCGTGTGTTGTCTACATAAGTCTAGTGCATCATTTATTGATGCGATAATTGATTGATCCATCCTATTAAGTCGCTTAATAGCTAGCTCCTTCCATAATGAAACAATTTTTTTGGTAACACCTAAATATATCATATGCATGGGTTCACAAGGGAAACATTTAATCATATCCACTGGCAGATTTTCAAATGAACTTGTGCCACGATGATGGATAGATTGGGACCTACAACGAAAAGTGACATCACTTCTTAAGTCGTGTTCACCATTGGGGAAAGTCATTCGACCACCCATTCGCGTCCCTAAGACCTGACATTTGTCACAGCCAGCGATACCATTGTGTCCCACAATGTACTTGACGTTGCTGCGAGCTGGAGCGTCACAAATAACAGCAACTAATTTAACTGTTAAATGTAGGTGATACTTATCTACATTAATACCTACTGTCAGCAACTCCTGTAACTCTGTTATAAGTGTTGCTGACATGTCGTTGAAATCAGATGGTTTTACTTCACCACCGTAGATCCCAACTACGAAAACACTACTAACTAGTGGAGATACTATACGACCTAGGATCGGCCACAGCTGTTGGTTAGAGCTTTTGAACAAACTTAGACCATCGTAGTTTAACTGCAACTGCAATTCGTTGAAACGGATTCGACGAAGCCAATGTCCTGAAATTCTCAAAAGACTGGATTTCAATCCTAAATGGTAATACGTTCCAGAATCTAGGATCTTAGGCTCCACGTCGTTGCATCGACGTAGAACACTTCGGACGGACGTTGGGAGTTCTGGATACCGCGCACGAAAAATGTCCAGTATTTGATCAGCCTTCTTTATGCTTATATAACCACCTTTCATCATTTCAATGACCATTTTGTCTAACTCGTCTTTCACCGAAAGATTAATGGTTGGGGACATTTCTGAAATCACACAACGTATAAAATTTTAATAATTAAACAGATTATACCGTTGATTGTGTTGTCTGAACACTGGACGTGACTACATGAAGCAGCAGCTGTATCTGTGACAATATTAGCCCACTGCTCTGTAGCTACGGTAATACGCGATTCTGTGACGACAACTGGATTGTCTGTCTCTTCGTCACAGCTTGGTAACTGACACTTCCTTATAAACTGTGCTTTCATTTTCCTCAACCTTCTGTAATAGGTTGATCGGGAACAGCCAAACAACCTAGGGTATTTAGTGTCTGCTGCCCGCCTTTTCGCAATCTTATCGAGCTGTCTATTATTATTCTGAAAGAAATAATTCACTTAAGTAAAACTGAACATAGACAGCAACCAAATTTCCCGACCTGCACTGCAAACAACTCACCTCCATAGCTTTCAAATTTTGAAAAAGTGCTTTACAACCGACAACTCTTTGTCTACTTATTGTTGATGTATTAAAACAAGACCTGGAATTCCAAAGATTATCCCTCATCAAAAGTCTGTATTGAATTAAAATGTAAATTTCTCTATTCAAATTTACTACTGTGAGGCTTATTTATATTAATGTGCAAAAATGCGCTACGGCAATTTTGGGGATTTCCCCTAAATTTCCCCAAAGTTTGGGGAAAACTATTTCATTTTGGGGATTTCCCCAAAATTTACCCAAAGATTGGGGAAGGTTTTTCACTTTGGGGATTTCCCCAAAGCTGGCAGCTTGGGTGGTTAGTGAGCGTAACCGGATTCACGCAAGGTCACAATCGAAGTGTAAGAATAATAATGGAAGCACAGTGTAGCTGTCACTAGCACAGTTAAACAAAGAGCACATTAAATCAAGCACTGGCACAATTGGTTATAATAATAATTGTTTCCATTAAACCACTCGTGTTCTCGTGATAAAAGTCACCACAATATCATTGGAGATTGGTCCTACATCGTGCATCATCACGATGGCAGCGTTTTCGTTACTTGAAAGATGGACGTTATCAGACAGCGTGACTGAGCTCTAGAAATGTCTTGATTTGAGCGCTAATGCAAAACTTTACGAGTAGTCGGGGCGACGCACCAATCATTTTACAATGGTTTGACCTTCAAGTGCACAGCAGCCACTGACAGAAGGCGATACTCCTAAAGCGCTGCCTTTCAACTCCCTTTGTGGCGTCACACCACTTTGATGAGTGTAGGTAGGTGGCTATCTGTCATCGCCTCGATAAAAACAACACAATATTCACCTTCGGGATTATCAAGGCACCTAAAATATACCTTACCATTCAAGGCGGGTCAGAAGTGAGTACTGTTTTAGAATATATTCTGAAACAGTAGCTATAGCTACCAAATGTAATACAGCAATTCTCGTATGGTGTTTGTGCCAGCCAAGCCCATTTTTTCACTATACAATTGTATAGTGATACACTTAAGTGTCTCATATCCCATGTGTTCATAGAAATCCGTAAATAACCTCGATTTCAAAGATGATAGTTGTTTATACACGGTGAACGACTGGGTGATTTCATATTCACCAAGGTTGGCTGCACTTATAAAGTAGCTACACTAACTAGTTTGTGTTCGTAACCATTTACCCTGTTAGTTTTCTTGGGGGTGATCTAATATTTTCAACACTGAGCACCTAAGTTTGTTTTTTCTCTAATGTCCACATACACCGATCGAAAGAATGTTTCTTTTCAGTTACCGATATTACTCCACCGTGGCAATTCCTTTTACGAAGCTAGTTGAGAACATTCTATCCAACTGAGTCTGAAAATCTATGTTGACATTAAGTTTAGATGCGTGTCTGTCAGCATTTGATGAGGAACCAGGGGAGTACTACATAGTTGGTTTTAAAGGTTCATGCTACTATTATCATTATGGTGCTCAAGGTGTGAATGACCAAGTAAGTTTTAAAAACAAATTATTTTAAGGGCTGGGGCTGTGGCTACAGAACACTGCAAACCACTTTATCTTGGTACAAGCTTACGAAATCCTGTCCTTTCGATGTACCTACTTTACTTGAAGTTCAAAATATATTGCATGAAATTGGGGACAAGCCTAGAGCTTTTGTAGGCTCTCATGATTGGATTGGAACATACGAATGTGGATTAGTAATACAATACGTGACAAAGGTAGGTCCTGATTCTATAAAGAGCTGTTAGCATGATTTTAAGATAATACGTGTGGAGAATGGCCTTTTTACGGAGGAAATCATCGAATTGCTTGTTGATCATTTTCAAGCACACGGATCACCAGTCATGCTCGGTAAGTAGAAACCTCGTCTAACCTTTTAGGAGGACACGACGACAGTTCATCAAAAGGAATCATTGCAGTAAAAACGTTTCCTGATCAGCCAACAATGTTGCTAATTTGTGTAAGTTGGTTAAGCGATATCTAAAACACATCAGATCTCGTTTGTGTTACGAACATGTGTGTAGATTAAGATTTATACCCGACAATTAAACCAATACCTAAAATCTTTGACTCAACAGTCTAACACTTTGTAAACTAAATGGTTTAAACCACTCATTAATTAATAAAATTATTCATTATCAACCATATTCATCTTACACTTGAACATAAATATAAGAGGAAATGAATGGTGCAAAACACTACCAGACTATACACAACAGTGTATATATTACTTAAGTGAATCCAGCATCAGTCCAGGCTAAAATTCCATTTGCTTTTAAATATGGCGAAATGCTCCTAATACTACCAATGAATTTGTATACACAAACCCGAACAGCGATGAAAGCTTTTGTAAACCTGAATACGAAGTCCCAAATGTGGTTCTTCAAGTTTTGTTTGTGGATTTTAAACATTAGTGTTTACTAAGTTATCAGCATGGAAGTCTGAAATCCACATCTATTAACCCAATGGGGAACTAAGAGTGAAAGCATATCAATGATCAAGGCGACTACAACCAACCAATACGCTGCAACTTGGTATCACGTAGTGAGGCGTGATATACTATTACATACATGAAATAGTTGAATCTAAATGACGATTTAATTTCGCTTTAGTATTTATATCCTGTGCATTTATCAAGTGTGATGTCTGTAGAGTAAATATGACCTAAAGACCAATTCTTTTACTATTTTTAAGGATCCCCACTGTTTTGAAATACATGGCAGCCCAACTATCGCTAAATTGTGCAAAGGAAAGTGGTTGCGATGGTGCAGAGTTACTGAATTGTCAGAAAGACACTTTTATAATTTGTGTTTGCCTTTATGAACAAATACATTTATTTTATAAGACGGAGCTTATGGTATGTCCTTGCAGAATTTGTCATACGTTTCTTTGAGAATAAGATAAGAGTCCAAATACCGTTCTTCGTTATCGCGACAGGCAGCTTTCCACCTGCAAATTAGAAAAACCAGCGAGTATTCAATATGACCATGATATTATTACACAAAAGTATCTTGTATAAACTCATGGTATCAGTTTACACTGTCCCGAAAGCTTCAGTGTGGTTTGATGGGTTAAACGTTGGAAAAATACGACTACGTCATAGTGTGTATTCTACACGACAACAGATACTTCGAGAAATCCAAACTTGTGGGACGTCTCAAATGGAGAAAATTAAAGAAGGCAAAATATACCGCTTACACTCAACTTCCCTATTTTGGGGAAACCGTTATACAAAACTTTAGAGAGATAGCACAAAACTCCCATAATTTCCCCAGGTCAGGGAGAAATCCCCAAAATGCTTGGGGGAATTTAGGGTTTTTCCCAATATTCCCCCAAAATCTTATAACACTAAGGAAAACCCCAAAATAAGGAGATCGAGCATAAAGAAGTGTCGCGGAACAAGGACATTAGCTAACAGTTAGCATGGTGGGGTTAAGAATGTACTACAATCAGCATTGCAAACTGTACTTCAAATAACTTCGCTAACTCGATATGATGATCAGTAGCGGACAGAAATTATGATCCGCAGTTTATAGAAAGACTGAATTCGATATTTTAATAGTGATACTTATATTTTGTCACGTAACTTTCTCTGAAATGACTGTGGGACAGGAGTTCGGTAATTCAATTACTCAGTAACTAGGTTAGTTCGATCTTATCGCCTCCGACAGTATTTCTATCTCATTTTTATATGATAATGATGACCACTGTTCAAAATGTTTGTGTGGTTTGCATTTAAGATGAGCCGTAGATATTAAGGTGAAACCAAACATTCGATCAAGAAGCATTTCAAATGAGACTAATTTGCAACAATTCGCCTAATAGTTATCGATGTAGTCAACCATTTTACTTAAAAAAGCTATTAGTCTGTAAGATATTCCATCACTTCTTAGCTAGAGTTGATGTATTATGAAAGTATACATAAAATTGTCCGGCAGTTTAAAAAAAGGTACCTACTTTCTTCGGATTTCTCTCCAACGGACAATGTGCTGTTCCAATAATCCCTCAGGAGACATTTCCTTAGGTGGGTTCTAAATGTTTATAGAATGTTGACAAAAGCACCGAAAATTACCTCAACGTTTATAAGGAATGGCTGACCGTCCGATGGGAGAGGAGGCGGTATCCTGATGTCATTATCGGTCAATCCATCACTTGGCTTAGGTAGCGTGTAATGACAGTCAGGCAACTGATCACTGTTCTATATTAGAAATGCCAACAAAGACAAACCATCAAAACCAGTTCATACGGAAAGATATAGATAAAAGTTCTAGAAAATGAGCAAGTACCATACACTAAGTAGTAGAAAAGACTTATTTAACAATATGGTAGGCATTTGTTAGTACACGTCTATAGAGGCATCGATGTGAATGGCTACAATATACAGAAAAATGCTCATTAATTTCCAGGATTGTTATATGAGATTTTAGTGCATCGAAGTCACTGAAGATCCCACATTGCTTATAGGTTCACAGTAAGATTTTGTCACCAACCAAATATATCCATTATTCAGTGCCACGCGGACCCCAACCAAGTAGTCTGCACCTACCAACATGGCTCAAACCAGAAGTTGGTGACTTTGTGGACTGATGCCACGTTTTAGTTTGGCCGCCTCTAACTTTCTTCAACACTAGTCAGCATTGCGTGTCGTGGTAATCGGTGTTCGTGCATACGTAACACGTGGCCGAACAATCTCAGTTGATGAATATTTGCAAGCCCACCAACTGATTTACCATCATTCCCCAATACTCTGCGTCTAACCTTACTATTACTTACCCGGTGATCCCAGCAGATGGGAGCAATATTCCTGAGGCATCTGTGGCCAAATACTAGTAGCTTACGAGTATCTTCCTAACGTTTCGCATCCGTAAAGTAGAACAGAACGAACTGACGAGCAGTATATTCACCTTTTTTGATAGACGGATATCTCGCCTTCGCTATAGGTGACGTAAGTTGACAAACGCCAAACGAGCTCTTCGAATCCGTGCAGAGATTTCATCAGACACTAACCAATTTGGGCTGATCAGACTTCCAAGATAAGTGAAGTTGTCAACGCGTTCCGGTTCTGAAGCAACAACTCGCATTTAGAGGGGGAGAAATGCATCCCAAATATTCTGGCATTGCTGCTCAGTGCCACCAAAAGACTGCATTTTACCAGAATCTTCACCAAACAAGACTATATCATTTGCGTATTCCAAGTCGATAAATGGACCTCCTGGTAGGAGACCAATGCCCGAACATTCAGTCGACGAGAGCGTTATTTCTATCAGTTTGTGTGTGATAAAGTTAGACAAAAATTGAGATAGTGGACAGCCTTACCAGATACTACTTGAGGTTGCAAAAGCAGATGACAGTTCGCCATAAGCTCTGACTCGACTAGTAGTGTTCGAGTAAAGGGCCTTCACAGGGTTTATGTACTTCTGAGGTACGCCTTTCAATGTCAGACACTGCCACAGAATCTCGCGGTCTACCGAGTCAAATGCTGCTTTCAAGTCAAGAAAGACCACCATTGTCGGACGCCGATAAGCATGTCTATGTTCTAGAACCTGACGAATGGTGAATATGTGGTCGATGCAGCCACGACCAGGTCTGGAGCCAGCTTGATTCTCTCGTGTTTGCAGTTCACGAGTCTTACTTAAGCGTCTGATAATTATCGAGGCTAGTATTTTAGATACTATATTAGTTAAACTAATCCCTCTATGGTTGTCTTAGGATGATTTTGACCCTCTCTTATATATTGGGACGATAAGTGATTGTGACCAGTCAGATGGAATAACGTCTAACTCCCAGATCTTGGCTAAAATATTAGTCAACCTAATCGCTAAAATTGGGCCACCATCCTTAAAGACCTCTGGAACCAATCCATCTGGACCAGCTGCCCTTCCTCGTTTCAGATTAACTACAGCCTTTTGAACTTTTGCTAGAGTTGGGGGACCTACTTCAATGTTCCATTCACACTGTCTGGGAATGGAGGGTAGTTGTAGAGTCGCTGAAGGCCGGCTGAACTGTTCTCTGAAATGTTCCGCCCATCGTTCTAAACGTCTGGACTGGGAGCGGATAAGAGTGTTGTCTTCCGAAATAGTTTCACTAACATTTGACTTCTTAATTTCGGTTTCTTTTGTAAGTCTGAAAAGCTGTCTGGTGTTGCCTGCAGCCGCTGTCTTTTCCATCTCTTGCTTTCGTTGCCCACCACTGCTCACAGTCGTTCCTTAGACTTTTAGTTAACTTAGAACTGATTTGTTTTCGTTCTTCACCGTGTTCAGAACCCGAAGGGATGAGTTTACGAGGATCTATCAGTTCAAGAGACTTAGTAGAAGTCCACTTGTTTTACGTAACCCTTTGGTTTGAATCACTAATAGATGTCACTGCTGTTTCCACAGCTGTTCTTACATCTATTCATGCAACATCTGGGTCAGTCTCGCTTTCACAACTACCTAAGTGTGATCTCAGTTGATTCTGGAATCTACTTTTGGCTTACTCGTCACTCAATTCAGTTTTAATGGGTCTTCTTAGTGTGGCTTTTCTGTGTCCAGTGAGGCCCAAGCAGATGCGTGCCCGTATTAGTGCATGACCAGAGTCCAAGCAAGTATTTTAGAACGAGCGACAATCTTCTATTGACCCTCTCCAACGATGATTGATGGCAATATGGTCTATTTGAGTCTATCGTTGGTTTGTTTCGAACCCATTATAGAATTTGAACATGTGAATAATGAATTTAAATATGCATTTGGATCCGCCTGTACTTTTCTACCCTACTTCACAGTTATACACCTTACCCAGCTTTCAATTATTCATGCAGCTAAAATCTTTGCGTTAAATGTGGTAACGGTTAGTGTGATTTTCAGGAAACAGATTCCCATCTTTTCCTAATCGGTAACTGATAATAATTTCTGAAATACAAAGCTCACCCTGTTCAGTAGTCAAATGAGGAACATGGGCATACTTTAGGATGTTATTAACAACGACCTAATATTGTGTAAAACGACATGTACGCTTGTCGGATTTGCAGTGTTTGTATAACTCATCTATTTTGTTGGTTGACTCTATTGAAAAGCAAAGTTTCACTACTCGTTACAAAATGAATACAATACGATACAAAAAGAGCTAGAGTAGCCATTCATTTATAACGTACTAGCTTTTAAGACCGTACTAAATAGTGATGATTGTTATTGCATTGAGGAACGTTAGAGATATGATGTTTATTGGTTCACAAAACAATTCTTACCGACTACGAATTAAGGAGTGCATAAGATATAACAGGACTATGATGGTGAGTTGATATGGTCAAAATGACACTGCGTGAGATATTGCCTTTGATCGTGAAAAGGGATCGAGTCCCAACGATCATGCAACAAATGTGAATTGTAGTCTAGCAGCTTATTGTAGTCACACAGAAGTGGACTTGATAACGAATATGTCTTAGGAGAGATTTGAAAACCAGATAAGAAGAAACACAAGAAGTTTGTTTGGATAATGACTTTGAACGATTTAAGATTAAACTGAGTGCGACATGAGGACAACAAACGTCAGAAAAACGAGATCCTAGATTTAATATGTACTTTACCAGGTTTCACGTTAACAGCAACATCTGGTAGCGGTACTCATTCACAAAGAACAGTAGAAGTCCGGAAACTAAGTACACTACTGTTATGAACTGTTGATACACTAACAGCTTATTGTGACCTTTTATTTGCTTTATTTGGTTATCTTTCATGGTTCACATGAGAACTGAGGGTCAGTTGAGAGTCGCTATGACTACTAGTAATGATAACGATGAAAAAATACGGGAGGAATAGACAATACTGAGTAGTTCTCAATCGCAGATAAATCCGAAGTTAGACTGGT